GCCCTGTCTCTATCTCTGTCCCTCCAATAGGAATCCCTCAAACTCTCTCTCCAGTCGTCTCTGTGCCTGTCCGCTATGGTGTCCCTCCACTCGTACTCGGGGGAGCGTCGCCTCGTCGCTTCTCGTCGTCCGCTCGAGGTACCCGTCTTTAGAGCCTCCTGCGGCTCTGTCGCAACTGGTTCGCCTCTTACGTCGGACCCTCCGTCATTGGTTTGGTCAGCCCATCTCAGCGGTGCTTCTTGCCTAATTCGTTCCTTCAGATCCCTCACAGCTCGATCGGGCGATGTCCTGTACTCCTCTCCCGCTTCGCCCATGGTCGGTTGTAGCCCCATTATGTCGGGTTCCATTGGACCGCCAGAAGACGCAGTTAGGTATTTTTGCCAACTGTTACAGCCCGACCCTATGACAGTCGTTACAGCCCGGACTTGTTTTCTTGTCACGGCTCGCGTCTGCCTCCAATCTTAGCTCTCGACTTCCTTGATTACCACCTCGAGTATCCCGTACCGGTCGCAGATCTCGTGTTCTCCTTCTATCCCAAGAATCCCGTGTCTAAGTAAACCTCTCCTTCAGGATCGGCCAACAAGGCCGTGCCTCTCCGGATTTGCAGTACACCCGTGACACCCCTCAAGAGTCTCCGAGCGTCTTTCTCCGTCCTCCTTGCTAGTTCTCCTAGCCCTGTCCTGAATCGGTTAGCCCGCTAAAGGCCCTCCTACTGCCATCCAAAGTCGCCCATCGACCTTTCTAGCTTCCACTATCCTTCCAAGAGCTTCCAATTTCTATTTCCACTACCTTATCTCCCAGACGGCTACGAGGTCATCTGTCTAACAGCTGAGGTAAGTTAGTGCTATAACCACTTGTAACCTCATCGCCGACCGCTCCAATATGTCATAAAATGTCTCAAAGTTCTCCTTATCTTCACCTTCCTCTATCGCCTCTAAAGTCTTTATCGATTCCTTCCAGTACCGGTCGTGAGCAGCTAACACCCTGAGTATTGCACCATCCGTTACAACTCTCCTTAACTCTCCAGCTTTTCTGGCTTCGCTTATCTTCAACCTCTCAGCCTCTCCGGTCGTCTCGTACCATGCCCTTATCCGAGACCGCTCTTCGAAAGGTGTCACTTGGAGTACGTATTTTATTCTCTGTCCTCCTTCTATTCCAATCCAAAGTCATGTTCCCCTAGCCTCACGCAGCGCGCGGCGGACACACTCTGCCTCCTCAACTATGCACAGTCTGGTATGGAGCTGGAGTTCTATGATCACTAACACTAATGGTCCGTCTAGTCTCCCTACCACATATAATGAGTACCGATCCGTCGTGTGTAGTGCAGTCCCGCTCATGTCCTGTCGCTGCTTCCCTGCGTTACTTTGTCTTGCGTTGTCTCGCTCTCTGCAGATCGCTCACTAGTTCCTTCGCGTGATACGCTTCTAGCCTTTACCCTTTCCTGAAAGTCTGATCTCCACGCCTGGATAATCTCTCTTTCCTCCCTAAACAGACTCTCTAACTCTCTCGTCACGAGTTCAGCCCTACGCAACTTGCCCTCGTCCTGACACGACCAGATCTCCCTTAACTTGTCCCCCAACTTCTTTACCTGGTTCAAGAGTGGTTCTTTAACGCGCTTTCTCACTCTTCCGACTGCCTCACTCTCCTCTTCCATACTCAGTTCACATCTTTCTCCAGCTCACCCTCTCACCATCGCTCTAACCTCCGCTACCGTCTCATCGTGGTAGTGCTCCGCGCGCATATAACCATGAGACCATATCATCACATCATAGGAAATCGAGGTCTGGAAGGTCACTCGCGCCAGTAAATCAGCTCTACGCTCGTGGATCAAATCCCTAGCTCGTTGTCTGCACTCACTCGCTGTCAAGTCCTCGTCTACGTAYGCTCGGAGAAGTACTGTCACAGTGTATCCTGCGCTTACTAGTTGCTCTTCTAAACGCATCACCGTGGCCGTCCTTCCCTGCATTCCCTAAGTTGCGGCCTCGAAGAGAAATCTCACATCCTCTAGCCCTGCGTAATCGATCTCTGCCCGTTTCCTGTAGTACCTAATCAGATCGATTGGCCTCAGACAGCCCACCCAGCTAGTATCGACTATGATGTCGTCAAGCGTCTCTCTACTGGGCGGCCCTCACCTCACACAAATGGCGTAGTATACTTCCTTGAAGCGGGGCGCTAAGCCCTCCCAGAGCGCGTAAAGTGTGTGGTCCACTGCTCTACTCAAACGATCCACGCTCTCATAGGTCTGCCCTATCACGAAGGTAGGAAGTCCGAATCGCCAATCCTTTTTCGGGTAGAGGGTCGGATGTGGTGGACCGTATACCAAGCAGCTCCAACTCGTCCTCCCTCCAGAGAGTCTC